AATTTATTTTTACCGTGCGAAATAGCTACTGCTCATCTTTTTTCTCAGCCATAGAATTTTTTTCTCACTCTTGCATCGTTTGATTGTAGCCTTTTTGTTGCGTTCGGATTCCATGGATAATTTCTCATTGTATTTTGTGTGACATGACAACAAGCGTGTGTTGTTTCATTTGCTTCCCAACGAAGTATCCATCGATCTTTTGTCGTCAACATCTACCTCATCTGTACATGTCGTGGCATCAGTCCCCGACACCTAATGCTTACTATTATCCACACCCTTCTTGATCGCTCTTAAATTTCTCTTAAGAATCTTTTTATTTATTGCGCTGTCCTCTTCGATGATTAGGGATCGCGTCGAACATCCTGCGAGTTTAGGTGCCCGGTTTTCGAGTTGTTTATCCTCGCATATTGTTTGTTAAAATTATTTCCCCCATAATCCTCCCTGCTATTATCCCGGTTACAGTACTGCTTATTTTGCCTGTCACGATAATCATCCTTCCTGTGGTCATATCTATTGTAATTACTACCTTCTTTTCTGTAATTATAATTATTCCTACCATAATTAATCTAAATATTGTTATTACTGTAATAATTATTACTGTTGTAATTATATTTTCTTCCCTTGTAACAACTGCCTTAATTATAAGGGATCTTACCATAGTTTTCTTGCTATCTACCAAAATTCCTACCGTTTTCATACTGATGGTAAAAATCATTGTATGCTACCTTTTTATCATACCATTCTTCTTATTTTTCTATTCTTTCTTTTGATTCCTCGTCAACGTTCTAATTTTTAATCATTCCCTTTTTAGCATTATGCTACAATTTTTCACACTCGCTAGTAGAGTGTGCACAATGCTCTCGGCAATCTAAACAATATTTTACATCATCCACACCATTCCACTTGTCCATACCTGACTTACTGACGGGCGCGTCACTGCTGACAAGGCCCACTATGGCATCATACCGCCTCTCAGTGTTTTTTGCCCTGAATCTCTTCTTTTGCTCTATCATTGGCTGGTGGAGACTTAACTCGTTGTCTACAGCGATGACTGCTTCAATAGCCTCCTCTAACGTCTTTGGCTGGAACCCTTAGAATAAACATATATATATATATATATATTGTAGGGTATCGAAGTTCGCTGTTCTTTAAGCTGTTAGGTCGATCGCTTTAAGTACAGGTTTGCTGCGAAATGCGTCTACAATCGTTTTGAATGCCTGTNTAAAGTGCATAAATTGGGTCTTAGAAGAAAATTTTGAGTAGTTTGTTAAGCATTTGATATAGTTTTTGCAAGTTGAACTTGTAAAAAAAATTTTTTAATACAAACTATAGCGAAAAATTGATGTCCTACAAAAAATCTTACCAAATTCCATCATGCGAAAAATATGTTAAGAGGTAAGTTCGTACAGCATAAGGGCTTGTGTCTTGATAAGGTATATTTTCAGTTCCCAAAAAGAAAAAAGTTGAAGTGATCCAGGTATATCTTTTGTCGAAGTTGTTTTTATTATCCGTTGCTTATATAAAATAATCAATAGTCTATATTATGATAACTAAAAAAAATTCAATTCTTAATAAGAAACACAGATACAAAAAAAAAAAATTAGTTTTGCAACCTAAACAAAGAGAAACATTTTAGTTAATTTTGGTTTCAACGTAGTGTTTTGAACAAATTTGCAGTAGCAATTTATGAACACTTATTAAAAAAGCATTGCACAAGATTAATGAGGAGTCGAGATAGAAAGAATTCTCGCTTATTGCAATAACAGGCTATTTTGCTCATCATTTTTCCTTATAAATTGAACAGGGTACACTTAATTACGTCATATAACTAATCTAAAAGTTTTAATACTGTATCGCTTATATTGTTTATGGCTGTTTGCAACAAAAAATGTAAAAAACTTACGATCTTGATCTGTGGATTGAGCCAATGTCAGAACATTTTCTCAAAGCCCTTTGTTCTTCAGAAATTACTCTGTATCATCCTACAACGCCAAATCATTTAACCTACTGGAACTTTAAAAAACATCGATTTCAGAAAATAATGCTTCCAAAGTCTGGTGATGGGGGGCAGCCAAGCTAGAAATGCAACAGTAGGCAAAGTTCCACAGATGCCCACTTAACTTTTTCGAAAAATTTTGGATGTCTTAAAACAGAAAAAGTTATGGTCATAGAGCTTAAGAAATTGTAATAATATACGTTTACATATAATTATGTTGGTAAAGAAAGTGGTTCAAAGTTCTGTAATTAAGTTGAGAGGGGTAAAAAATGATTATTCAAAAAATGCCTGTACGATTCACGTAAAAGTAAATAAAGCAAATGAAGACGGAGACAAAAGGTTAGTGATGATAACATAATGTCTAATGTCAAACTTACATCAGTGAAAACATCTGTTAAGAAGGATAAAAAATAATCATCAAGACGTGAAAACAATATTAAGAGATAATAATAAAAAGAGCAGAAAAAGAAAAAGCAATTAAAAATCTGTCACACAACACTTTTGAAAATAATATGGAAACTAAGATCTATAGCTAGCACTTTTACAAATGTGTACGAAGAGGACAAGCATTAGGATAGATAAATAGATAAATATTAGTCCTGAAAATTCAAAACTGAATATGAAAGCCTGTTTTTATGAATTCTAGAAATGATTGTTTCGACTTTTTTTAATTGCTAGCATTATTTTTTTAATTACCAGCAGGCTGTAGTTAAAGAGTTAATACGTAGTTTGAAATAATTTTTTCAGTATCCTGAGAAAATTTTGCACAAAAATCAATTTTTTCAGTTTTTTCCAACTTTGTTCAGAAAAAAAATTATTTGAGCCTCAGCTACTGAACTTAAATGAACTAGTTACTTATAAAATTTGTAAGTGAGCATTGGGTGACAGGGTGTGCAGTGACAGAGCCTCACTTGTATGTATATGTAACATCTTATGTGGTGTCTTTTTTGTGCTACAGTGACAAGCCAAGAGAAGAAGGACCAATTTTAGCAGCGCAGTGCAATAGCCTGACTGGAAATCTATTGTTTCTATCCACAGAGTTTGCAAGGACCTTTAGCGGCAATCGAAGTAGGACAGTTTAAGGGGTCCACTGTAGGTCCTTGGTTGACATTTGAACAGTACTTTGTTGACTTTTGCAACAGTAATAATCGTGTCTTCATTTAATGGTTTGATTTAACATCTGCCAAGTGGTGGGTTTCATTACAAATTAATTAAAATTTTTTAAATTTTAAAAAAGTTTCCAGCTGTTATAGTTTTTTAAATCTTTTTTCTGTTGATGGCTTATTCATACAAGATGATATGAATACACAAACTGATTTTTATTTTGTCTCTTTCTTTTACAATCTTTTATTTAGGACTAACGTGATTGCTTAATTTAAGGACTTTTATTACAGTAGGCAGGGTAAAGTTCACAGAGATAAGAGGAGCGCAAATACGCAGCAACCATGGCAATTACTTTCGTACTCAACTCCTCTCTTATTTTATTAAAATTAGCACTTTTAGATTCCTTTGAACCTTTAGCTACTTTGTTCCATAGTCATCTATCATACAAAAAAATTAGGAAATTTCTACGGATCATTTTGTTATAAATACAACTTAATGTAGTTCATTCATATTGTTACACATTGAATTGAGATTTTTTTAAATTACACGTGTATAAATGGTACAGGTGAATGATTTTCAATTTTTTGTGGGTATTTTTGATTTTACTAATATATCAAGCAAGTCGCTAAAACCGTTGTAATCGCTAACCGTGAAAACTACTGTATATTTTTTGGGAGTTTAAAATCTTAACAGCTTCGAAAAGTTGCCCTTTTCGTAAATTATACGGGAGAAACTGAAAATCAACCGCTTCTTATGGCCAACGATTATTTTTTGGCATCAGGAACGCACGGTACTTTTTAGCATGATTATATATTTTTTTTAATTCTTACAGTTTATTATTTGACCTGATAAACTGTATGGATTGCGAACAAATATGTTTTTAATAAAAAGATTTTTGTTCTGAGAAGTGTCAGGAATACGTGTGAAATTTCTCACTGAAAACATTTCACATTGCATGTCAACACACTACGGTGTTCCATTTAGTAAGTCTCGGGCGAAGCCGAGATGGGGGTCCACTAGTGCTACAATAAATATAAGTTGGATCTTTCAATAGTATATATTAAAAACTGATGTGTGATCAACGTCCTGAAGTGAAATTCACTGACATGTTTGTTAATACTATTCCACAACAGGTATCTTATACGTGTGTTATACATGTGTTTGTTTTGTAATCTTAGAGTTCATGGTTTGTATTCTACCGTAATTTTTTTTTTTTTATTCAACTAAAATTGCTTTTTTTACGAATATTTGTATTCTAAAAAATCGAATAAGTAACTGTTTGTGATGTAAAGTTTGATTAGTATTTTTTGTTTAATGCACAATTATTTAAGACGGCCTCGAATACGTCTTAAATAATGTGAAAATTATATCCCATTTTGGGACAATATAGAACATCTTTTATAATGTCTAAATTTTCTAGAGGAGCACAACTGTGGAAAAGTTGTACCAGAAAATGAATTATTAGTTATTATTTTGATGCTTACCAGCTATAAAAAAAGCAAACAATCTATGGTTATTTTAATCTTAACTTCATGTAGCACATTTTTATATTAAAAAAATAGCATGCTATACAAGATCACATAAATTTTTTTAAAAAGTATTAGTTGTTGAATGATTAATGTTTATATTTTATTCATACTTATGTTTATAAATACTTTTTTCTATTATAGCAATGCATTTATTTTTATATTCTCTTTGTTTGTTCCTTATCTTTTTATTTGTTGAGTGTTTTTATGGAAATCGAAAACATATTGCATCTCTTATACTGTTTTATAGTTTTAGAAAGTTAAAGATGTTAATTTACACCACCAAAGCAATTTGGAATTGCTTAATAAATATTTAAATGAAAATTAAAATGAACTGCAAGCATTCTTAATACTTTACTTAATTTTCATTGCAGGAATTAGTGAGTAACACTCAAAATGAGGAATTAAGAACTATAGCTACATATTATTTTGGAGGCCAGGGTAAAGCTCTTCGACCCATGGTTGCAATTCTTGTTGCAAAGGCTATAAATTATCACAAAGATAAAAGGTAAGACCTTTCAAATTATACTCTTTGTTTACTAAGAAAAATTGTACAAAAGATTAAGTACAAATTCTAAACTGACATCGTTCTAAGCCTTCCCTCGTTTGTCTGTGTGTTACCTAAGTCTCCTTAAAAAAATTGTTTGGAGTAAGCAGGATTAGTAGCAGCAGTAGTAGCAGAAGTAGCAGTAGTAGCAGTAGTTTTTTTTTTTTTTTTTTTTTTTTTTTTTTTTTTTTTTTTTTTTTTTTTTTTTTTTT